TGGATTTCAAATTGACGCAGATTCTAAATTCACGCACAACATAAAATAAATGTTAATTTATACATTTATATAATAGTATTTTATATTCATTTATGTTATTAAATTGGTTAGAGGATGAATTAACTAAAACAGCCACAATAATTATTCGTGGAGCTAGATTAAATTAAATCATTTGGATGTTATTGAGAGAGCTATAGCAGCAATTCACCACCATGTACATTTATCAAGGATCTTGAAAATGTGGACACTATTAATATCGAAGAAATTCGTGGTTACACTTTTAAAAATAAGATTCTAATTGCTGGAACATCCAGCTTATTCAAATCTTTAACTTTGCACCATCAACATCAACGTCTTAAATTTTTACGATATTAAATCAAATTTTATTTGTTACCAATGGAAGATTTAGGGAAGAAGAGATAGATGCTAATTATTTATTGCAATCAGTTATTTTTTTTTGATCAAGGCATTGTTGATGTTACAACCATAGTCAGGAAGTCCATCAGGGATAATTACAAAATTAAAGAGAGGAATCATCATTTATCATTCAAACTCTCGGAATTCATAAATTTGCTGAACAAGCCAATGAAAAGACATGATTAAAAAAGTATCTTGCAATTGCAATTTCTATTTTTTTATATATTTTTTTATTATTATTATTGAAGATATACAATGCAAATAACATTTAACACTTATGATACACAAAACAATAAAATATTATGATTCTATATTATAAATTAATTATATTAATGGGATCCACCACCATATCGTGAATTATTATTGTTATTATTATTAAATTGTTGATGCTGAGGAGGTTGTGGAGTTCGAGTATGTTGTTGTTGTTGTTGTTGTTGTTGTTGTTGTTGTTGTTGTTGCTGCTGCCACTGTTGTTGTTGCTGCCACTGTTGACTTTGCTGTTGATGTTGACTTTGCTGTCGATGTTGCTGATGCTGATATTGTTGTGGTGGGTAAGCTGGCATTTGATGATGTTGATGTGGAGGTTGAGACGGTTGATAAGATTCTTCTTGACCATATTGTATTCTTGACGAATGATAAGAAGGTGCATTGATTGAAACTTCACTATAATTGTCAGGTGGTATAGGACTTTGCCTTAATAAAGGAGCAGTAGAAGACGGTGCAATGTTTGAGATGGAGGAACTATCTTTTCCATAGTGTTGTAATGAATACTCTGAAGGCTCATATCCTTCATAATAATCTGGGCTGGGTTGATTGATATTTTGCAATTCAATATGTTCAGGTCTTCGTTGATGTGGTTGCTGTGGTGAGTATTGTTGTTGTTGTTGATGCTGTGGTAATGTTGGTTGTCTTTGTTGATATGAAGTTGAATAAGAATTATAAGGTATATACGAAGGGTCATTGTAATCGACATAATATCCAGGATTTTGAGACTCATAGTAAGTATATTCATCAATATCCAATTCATTGTCTTCAACCGCTTCAAAATTTAAACCTTTTTTGGATTGCAACATGGAACACTAAATTATTTTATTTATTGTATATTAATATGTTCTTATAATAATAAGAAAATTTATTTCTTGTAACTTTCCTGTAAACATCAATTTAATTTCTTATAAATTTCCTGTAAATTTTCTACAAATACTTTTCTCAATGATTTTGTTGATTTGACTTTTTGTAAATTTCTTATAAATTTTTTGTATTATAAAAACTTTTTCATATAGAATATGATTCGTGTAAATTTTTAATAAATTTTCTGTATTTTCCTGTAAACTTTTTTTCGAGTATAGGGAAATTCAGTATGGTATAACTCTTGCAAAATATACGGTATGATATTGTATAAGTGTAATAAAATGGTTGTATACCAATGCTTAAATCTAACATACTTCCCTTCACACCCACCACCAAAAAAGGATTTAGAATAAAATTTTGTGTGACTTGGTATGGAAAAATATGGGCTATACCATACCATACCATA